AGCTAGTCAGTAGTCAGTGCATAATTATTTATTTGTATTTTTCTCAAGTTGATGTCTGCTGTATTTTATTATATGTAATTAGCATAATAAAACATACCCATTTCCATATCACATCCTGTATCAGTCCAGTATCTGCCCTATGGCTGATATTTTTGTCTCGGGCTAATATGGGATGTGGTATAAAAAGGAGTATGTATTATTCTCTCTCTCTCTCTCTCTCTCTCTCTCTCTCTCTATATATATAGATATATATAGGACTCGACTCCTATGGTGACGCCAAAGTCCGATGGTCAGTGCCAAACCCCGACGGTTTGATGTCGGTACGGACGGCAAAGTCCGATGGTCACGCTAAAGTCCGATGGCTCGTTTCCCATCATACACGTGCGATAAAGTGCGATAGTCTGACACGCAAAAGTCCAATGCATGGTGCGGAGAAACAATTAACGTTTATGACGTCACAATATTCCGATGTCAATCCTAGACGCCATAGTCCGTAATTCAAAACCAATAATTTAGGATGAGTCATCGAACACAATTTGACTGATTTTACTTAATGTTTGCACTCACCTGAGTTATTAGGATTAGTCCTTGCACACCACTTGGCCGATAAGGGTTAGTCCTTCTGCACAATTACACTGATTAGAGGATAGGTTGCACTTACCCAGGACATAAAGGGTTAATCCTTATATAGACTATTAGATTGAATAGTTTTAGTCTTGCACCCCAAAAGAGGTTTGACTGATTAGGGTTAGTTTCTCTCCCATCCAGGATGTGTAACAGACTTTTTGACCGATTAGGGTTAGCCTCGCACACATCAAAGAGATTAGGTTCAGACTCGCACCCATCCGAAAGATTAGGGTTAGCATCGCACCCATCAGAGAGATTAAGGTTAGTCTCGCACCCATCCGAGAGGTAAGGGTTAACCTCGCAACCACTTCAGAAATTATGGCTAGTGGTGCAATATATTTTTGCGTTTTTTTTTTTCTTCCTTTTATTCAGATTTTACAAAGACATTTTGGGGTAAAGTCTCCCCAGAGTCCCCCTTATAATCCGCACCATATGTGCCTACAGCTTCTGGATTGGATAGCATAGAACTATATATACATTGATATTATAAATAATAATAGTACAATGACAATGAAAAAAAAAAAAAGATAAATTTCTAAACAAAAATTAAATAAAGGTATTCCGTATTTTTTTCTTCCGTTTTATAATGTCAAAATTTTTACAGTACAAATGATATCCGGTTGTTACTTTGAATATAAACATTGAGTTATCCTCAACTTTTTTTTTAAACAGTCAAATATTGCAAAAGACTCGAGGTAAAATTAAAATCTACATGTTATGTGTATAAAAAATTACCGCTTATGAAATCCGTGTTATCACAGAGGTCCCATTTCGCCTTCCAAAGTCCATATTGACCCCCACTTGTTAACATGCTTCTTAGGACAGGCTACCCAAGAAGCATTGGATTTCATAAGTTTTTATGTAATTATAACATGAAGGAAAAATGCTCTATTAACTATGGATTATATATGTCTTTAAACATTTATACACATTTCACTAATTTGAAATTTTTATATGACATTTTTATAATATTATAGTACATCAATAAATTGCTCTTCACAAATTTTATCAAATTTTCAGTAATACATGGTTCACAATTTACACGACATTTCATTTTATTTTTAAATATTTTCAGAGCTATATAAGAAATGAGTATGTTCAACATTTCAGATAGCTGAGTTTCTGCAATTTGTCTATCAAACATTTTGGTAATTTTCATATGAAAAATTTTTGGCCACATTGATCTAGGAATATCAAATAGATCAGCCCAGTATTTTACAGTTACAGGTTGGTGAAATTTCTTTGGTCTCAAAATTACAATAAATATCTCCATAAAATAAAGCAAAATGATTATTTTTTAAATGTTGACATGCTGAGTTTTTCTACATTCAAAAATCTTAGAGTATTTGTTAAACACTGATTTCATAATGAAATATTCACAGAATATATTTCTTTTATCTAAGATTTTTTCTAAAAAGTATGAAATATCTTGTAATCTTCCATTTATATCAAAAAGATCTTTTGTGTATAACACACCTGGTTTTTTCCAGTTTGATAGAAATATTGGCTTGTTTTTATACATGAATAATGTGTTTTTCCAAATAGGTAATGACAGGAACTCATCTGTGGATATTTTTTTCATATCTTTTTTTTTTTTTTTTTTTTTTTTTTTTTTTTGCATTTATTGAATGCACACAGTGCTTCTTTGTAGAAACAAGGAAGGAAATTTAATTCTTGATAGTCTTTAATATCTTGCAGATTTGTTTTGAGTAAGTAGTCAAGAGTCAATTTTTCTTTACTAAGAATGTTTTGTATAAAAGACACTAAACGATTGTTGGATTTAAGAATTCTTGGAATCCAAGAAGCTTTTGCAGAGAGGAACTTTGTTTCAACATCAAAGATATTAATACCACCATCCTGCTCTTTTCCTATAAGGGTATTCCTTTTTATCCTATCTTTAGCATTCCAAATAAGATTATAAATTGTTCTATTGATTTGTTTGAAATATTCTTCGGGAGGGTTAGGAAGAATACTAGCTATATACTGAAATTTTGATATGATAAGATTATTTACAATTTCTTTCTTACCAAAAATAGTCAACTTTCTTTTTTCCCATGCTTTAAAGGTATCAACAAGTATAGAAAACCTGATTGTACGTGGAGATCTAAATTGTAATATAGACAACCATAATCAGACTACTGATTCAAGCAAAACACAATTAAACTCTTTAATCAAACAGTTAAAATTAATAGATGGTTGGAAAAAAATTCATGAAAATAAACCTGGTCTTACTTGGTGCAATGCAAACAATACTCCAAGTAGCAGAATAGACTATATTTTATTTGCAGAAAGGTTTTCATTTTCTGTAGATTCTTTTTCTTTAAGAAAATGTCCCAGAGTAAAAAACAATAGGATGAATGATCATCTAGGGCTAAAAATAGATTTTATTCTCCAGAAAAACAAGAGAGGTTGTGGATATTGGAAAATGAATATTTCATATCTAATAAATGAGGACTTCTGTAAACAACTAAAAGACATTTTTAAAAATAAAAAACTAGAGCTTAGAGATGTAAAATGTCCACAAGAAAGATGGAAAATGGTTAAACTTATTGTTTAAGAGTACTCTATAACCTACTCTAAAACCAAAAGTAAGAGTACCAAACAAAGAGTAAAAGAAATTGAAAAGAGAATTACAAATATTGAAAATAGACCTTTTAATGAAATTAATAATCAAGAAAAATGTAAGTTAGAAAAAGAATTACAACAGATCTATGATAAAAGAAATTAGAAGGAGCATACATTAGATCTAGAGCAAATTGGGTTAAGTGTGGAGAGAAATGCTCTTCTTACTTCTTAAAACTAGAAAATAAACATCAACAAAGTAATGTTATTGAAAAAATTAACCAAGATAACCAAACCTTCTTTAGTAGTAATGATATCTTGGGACAATTATGTAATTTCTATGAAAAATTGTATATATCACAAAACCCCAAAACTGAAGACATAAGACATTATCTAAAAAGAACTGAATTAAAAACAAAACTTAATACAGAACAACAAAAAATATGCGAGGCATAACCTACCCTCAGAGAGTGTGAAGAGGCAATTAAAAGCATGGATAACAATAAATCACCAGGTCTAGATGGCAAACCTATTGAATATTACAAATTATTTTGGAATATAATAAATTACTTTTATTATTTACTGTTTAAATCTTTTGAATATCGAGAACTACCATCATCTCAAAAATTAGCTGTTATTAGTCTGATACACAAAAAAGGTGATAAAAGTAATTTTAAAAAATACAGACCCATAAGCTTAACAAACTGTGATTATAAAATATTTGCGATTGTTTTGGCTAGAAGATTACAAAGTGTTATTTCAAAATTGATAAATAAAGACCAGTCAGCATATATTAAAGGCCGATATATAGGGAATAATGCTCGTCTAATTCAAGATATATTTGACCATTGTGAAAATCATAATGAGAATGGATTACTATTATTTTTAGATTCTGAAAAAGCTTTTTGATACTGTTGAATGGGAATTTATGATACAAACATTAGAAGAATTAAATTTTGGTCCAAATTTGATTAAATGGATTTCAATTCTATACAATAATCCTACTTTTAGAGTAAAGAATAATGGTTTTATTTCAAAAACTTCTAGAATGACAAGAGGCATTAGACAAGGATGTCCCATCTCTGCATTGTTATTTATACTAGTTACTGAAATCTTATCAATCAGAATAAATAAATCAGAACAGGTAAAAGGGTTTCAAGTCAATAAACAATGTGAAATTAAGATGTTACAACACACTGATGATTCAACGAACCCTCTAAAAGACTTAGTGTCTGTAAAACATGTGATAGATATTATACATAGTTTCTCTATCTTTGCCGGTCCTAAACTTAACTTACATAAATCTGAATGTATACTCCTAGGACCTTAAAAGACTCATGTAAAATGTATATGGAATAAGAGCAACAAATGACCCAGTTAAAACACTTGGAATCTATATAGTACACAACAAAAGCCCTTGTGAGGAAAAAAAATGGAATGAAAAAATAAATTTTTGCGTTTTATATTGAACCATATTACTTTGGAGTTTAAATACGTAAACTTCATTTAATTTGTTTTAAATCATTTTACCTCGGCGTGGCGCGGCATCGCAATTTGGTGCAGCAATACTATGACGTCATAAATAATTATTTTTCTGCACTATCAGACTTTGGCGTGTTAACCATCGGGGTTTGGCGCAGACCATTGGACTTTGGCGTGACCATCGGGCTTTGGAGTCTCATCGCACTTTGGAGTCCTTATATATATATATATATATATATATATATATATATATATATATATATATATATATATATATATATATATATATATATATATATATATATATATATTTATAAAATAATTCTTACGTGATATCAAATGTTTCTTCTGTTGTAGGAAAGTCCAGCAAAATTTCCGAACCTTCTAATTCCCATTTTTCCTTATCACTCACCATCAGTGCAATATCTTTTGAAATCTTGTTCACTTCATTCGTTATATCGGTAAATGCTATTGAATCCTTCTTAATACCAGTTTCCACTTGCCACTTTCCAAAAATGTAGGTATCGTTACTGTCCTTGATAAATTGCTTTCTCTTTTCCGTCACAAACTTGCCTTTATCGGAAGCTTTACACCTATAACACGGACCTTTCCCAATCTGCCAACCATTCAGGAAGAATATCTTAACCTACAAATTTAAGAATGTGTACGTTGTAACTGCAATTTAGTGAGGCTGTTAATTATTATGATATGATTGCTCTTATTTTTCTAGAGTTACGATATATCAGAGATGAAAAAGTAGAGATAACGAACAGTTCTCCACAAAATTAACCATGGAGGAAGCTGCGCATGGCGAAATGTGATCGAAAGCACGAACGTTTTTAGACTCTCTAAGCTTCATTAATCAATGAGTGATTCACAAAACTTAACCATTGTAAAACAAAAAATTGAAAAAACCGACCAAAAAAAAAAAAAAAAAAAAAAAAAAAAAAAAAAAAAAAAAAAGACATGTTAGTGAAATACTGATGCCCCCGTATGGCATCTTATAGTGAAGGTTGAACTTTCTTAAATGTATATCAAATATGTTGGTACCCAAAGTAAGGTCATGTCTCGAGGAATATACCTGTGAAATATGAAAGCACTAGCTTTGAGATATATATATATATATATATATATATATATATATATATATATATATATATATATATATATATATATATATATATATATATATATATATATATATATATATATATATATATATATATATAGATAGATAGATAGATAGATAGATAGATAGAGAGAGAGAGAGAGAGAGAGAGAGAGAGAGAGAGAGAGAGAGAGAGAGAGAGATTAAAATTTGTCTTATCCGGACTCTGAGTACTCCGGAATTTTGTCCATTTCGGCTTCAAAATTTTTGTCACATGCACTTCTTTAACATATGTAGAATAAAAAATTCCGTGTAGTCCGGATACTGTCTATTCTGTATTCCGAACGGTCAAATTGGTCCCAACTACTAATAATTAACAGTAACTAGATGCTGTCATGTGACAGTAATACCCGCACTAATGTGTTTGCCTTTAAATGCACACTCCTTCATATTGGGATTACCAAGGAAAAAGTCAAAACAAGAAGTCTGTGAGCCAATGCTCACTAATAATACCCCCGCTCTGATGTGAATACACAAGTTCAGTTATGGACAAACACAGTGATAATCAGGAAATTGACATTAGATTAGTAAAAAATGAATCACAACATATGGCATGCCTCAACAAACATTGTGTTAAGATTTCAAGCACCTGCGATGAGTAGTTGCTGAGAAAACTACGACCAAAATTTGTTATGTATGGTACAGACAGATGCAGGGATGAACAGGAAGTTGACATCGGATTTGTGCCAAAATGAATCCCATTATATGGCATGCCTAAACAAAATTGTGCGAAAATGTCAAGCATCTGCAATGAGTAGTTGCTGAGAAAACTGCGACCAAAATTTGTCATGTATGGTACGGACAGACGCACAGATAAACAGGAAGTTTACATCAGATTCGTACAAAAATGAATCCCACCATATGGCATGCCTAAACAAAAATTGTGCTAAAATTTCAAGCATCTACGTTGAGTAGTTGCTGAGAAAACTGCGACCAAAATTTGTTATGTATGATACGGACAGACACACTAATAAACAGGAAGTTGACATCGGATTTGTACAAAATTAATCAATCCCAACATATGGCATGGCTAAACAAAGAGTGTGTTAAAATTTCAAGCATATGCGATGAGTAGTTGCTGAGAAAACTACGACCAAAATTTGTTATGTACGGTACGGACAGACTCACGGATAAACAGGAAGTTTACATCAGATTCGTACAAAAATGAATCCCACCATATGGCATGCCTAGACAAAGACTGTGCTAAATTTTCAAGCATCTGCGATGAGCAGTTGCTGAGAAAACTGCGACCAAAATTTGTTATGTATGGTACGGACAGACGCACGGATAAACAGGAAGTTTACATCAGATTCGTACAAAAATGAATCCCACCATATGGCATGCCAAAACAAAGATTGTGCTAAAATTTCAAGCATCTGCACTGAGTAGTTGCTGAGAAAACTGCGACCAAAATTTGTTACGGACAGACAGACAGACGGACAGACAGACACACAAGGGTAAAACAGTATACCTCCCTCTCCTTCGGAGCGGGGGTATAATAATTCTATAATTTACACAGTACATGTACATGTATTCGTCAATTCGAGCATAAAATGCTCATGTGACCATTTGACCTATGAGCCTCTTATTGGTATTTCCTTTACTTAATTCATTTCCAGTCTGAAATAACAGAATTTAATTAATGATGTAAATTAGGTTTTGATAAAAAAAGAATATAAATTTTTGGCCCATAATTGGAACTTTTTAAATTTATTTTCTCAACAACAAATAATATTATTTTAGTAATAGCATTTTTGATGAATTTATCAAAATGTGCAAACTTTTTATTTAGTATTTGATTAGCAAAAACCTCCTTGAAAAGCCATACCCAATCAATTTTGCCCCCCCCCCCCAACACACACACACACACACACAAGTTGCCTGTTTTTGGAAAAAGGCCTAGTTGGCAAAGTTACGTTAAAACATCGTTTGTTATGATAATTTGAAATTTGTTTTTGTTTTGTACATGTATGTGAACACCTTTTTGAAAATTTCTACATCACATTGGGCTTGCGTCACCCTACTAGCACTAGTTTTACCATTATCATTGCACATGGTGCAGCGTGGTGTACACATTAGTACATGTATATCAGTGGAAATTAATTCATTTTGTGTTTTAATTGGATTATATTTCATGAAGTTGACAGGACCTAGGAGAGTCGGTGAGTACAAGTTTAAGTATTGATTGGGGTAAAATAACTGAAATGCAAATGGATCATCGGATGCCACAATAGACGAATTTCACATTCTGAAGAATTATCTCCCGTTGTCGACATTACATTCAGTTACAGGCACAGATCAAGGATTTTTTCCGGAAAAAAAAAACAAAACAAACAAACAAACAAAATAAACACAATGATGGTGAGGTCCATGTTTTTAAAGGGGGGAGGGCGTCCAAAGTCATCTTTTATTTGTTTCTAGTCCTATTTAAATAACTCTGCAAATTCCCGGGGGGGGGGGGGGTATCCAATCTCCCTAGCCGCTCCCTGACCCTGAATTGACAAATGATCATGTGACTCCAAAATTGTAGAAAACTTTTCCATTTGACTATACATAATTTTGTTTCTTGTGTTATTATGTTATGTACATCTAATGGTTTAAGGTTATGAACCCCTGGAGGTCATCCCCACTCTTTTAATGAACTGGAAATGTTCACAATATGACTACATCAAATTAAATAAAAGTGCATCAATGATAAGATTGCTTGACAATTAATTCATGAATTTGGGTCAACCCATAACCCATGTAGAATTAGAAATGAAAATCATTCAAAGAGATGGACCATTAAACTATTTGTATTATATTCACATTTTTTTTATGTCAAAACATGAAAAGGGGAGGGGCGAGGGGAAGGAGTTATCTCTTTACGTCTTAATTGTTGAAAACTCCTATAATGAATGTTAACCTCAAATCCGACTTGTACGTCTTCATTAATTTTAAGTGGTGGTGTCTCCATATGAGTGAAAAATTCCCGAAGGACATTTAATAACAAACAAACATTAATGACTTAAAAAACACAATATACATGTACATGTTTATTAGTCTACGGATATACTTCTGGTCTCTAGTTCTCCCTTGAATAAGAAATGAATGATATAAATATTTCAAGAATGATTAAGAGTTGAAAAGGTTGTACATTTTAAAATTGACTTAGCTCTGTGGTTGAATTAGCTATAATACCAGTTTAGCTTATTTTGCTACTCAAAGCACCTTTAATAACTATTTTTAATCATACTGTTTTCTGAAATGTAGTGTTTTTTTCAACATGGATACAAGTCATACCTTTTCAGCTTCTGAAAGCAATTCATGAAAAAAAAATCTGCTTTTCAAATACTGTAAGTCTTTCCAAGTACTTGTGATCATAAGTTTTTAGCTAACTTGAGTTTTTCTGGTTTTCTGATCACATTTTATCTGTCATCCATCTGTCTGCCTGTAAACTTTTCACATTTTTGTTTTCTTCACTAGAACCGCTGGGCCAATTTCAACCAACCCTGCCACAAAGCATCTTCGGATAAAGGGGATTCAAGTTTGTTCAACTGAAGGGTCACACCCTCTTTCAAGGGGGGATAATCAAGAATTAGTGAAAATTTGGTGGTATCATTTTAAAAAGTCTTATCAAGAACCACTGACTGGGCCAAAAAAGTTGAAACTTTCTTTACATAGACTTAGTGTAGATTCAAATTTGTTCAAATTATGACCCACTGGGGTAGGGTGGGGCCACATATGGGGATCCAATGATTTACATAGAAAAATGCAGGGGATTTTTTCCATCATAAATCGTCTTCTCAAGAACAGCAAGGGCATTATTAACATCCGTTTTCTCGAAAGGGACCTAGGGGACATTAAATCTCATTTGTCTTTCAGTCTGTCCGTTTGTCAGTCTGTCCGTCTGTCACAATAAATTTAACTTTTGAATAATAAGAGATAGGGCTTTCATATTTCACATGTACATTACCTACAAGGACTTTCTAAACATACTATGAATTTTGAACCCATGACCTTGGAAGTTTGACCTACTTTTCAAAAAAAATTAACATTATTTTAAATTGATCATTTTGAAAGAGAAAAGATAGGGCATTCATATTATACATGTATATTACCTGTGACAAGACCTTTCTAAATATATCATGACTTTCGACTCTGTGACATTGACCTTGAAGTTTAACCTATTTTTCAAAAATGTTATATTTCCTTATAACTTTTGATTCAGAAGAGATAGGACTTTCACATTTGACATGTACATTACATGTAACAATATGTTTCTGAGCATGCTATGATTTTTTACCCCTTGACCTTGATGTTTTACCTAATTTTTGAAAAATTTTAACTTTGGTGATTACTTTTGAATGACATATGATAGGGCGTGCATATTTGATTGATTGATTGTATGTTGTTTAACGTCCCATTCGAGAATTTTTCACTCATAGAGAGACGTCACCATAAACCGGTAAAGGGCTTCAAATTTTGACCTTTACTCG